TCCCTTTTACTCCCTAGTGTTCAACTCTCTGGACATGTCCCGGTCCGTGTCAGTGACAACAGCTGGGCAGTGCCGCCTTGCTCCACTGATCCAGGTCATATTGGACTGCAGTCACCTGTATGATTACACTGTCAAGCTTCTCTTCAAACTCCATTCCTGTGAGTACACTGGCCAGATCCTCTCTGAGCGTGTGGCCAGGAGGATCTCAGCCTGAGCCTGTCCTTGGAGAAACAAGGCTCCTTGGAGAAACAGGGTTCCTCGGAGTCTTGGGCTTTCAGCCTTTGTTCCAAAAGGCCCCGGAGGCTCCAGCTGTCTCAAGAAGCACAGGGCACAAACTTTGATGCCCAGGGAAGCACCTGGCTTGCCATGGTGGTGTCCCAAGATGAAGTCTCCCTCTACCTCTAACTTCACCTCATCTCCATCCATACATGGCAAGTATCCTAGGAACCACACAAATGATGGCAGACCTAGCCTAGACCCACAGCAGCAAAGGCGATGGTTTCCAAAGTGTTCAGTCTTTTCATACAAATGGAAATTTGTGGAGAAATATAAACTATAAAGCAGCTGTTCAGGGAGGGCCATCCCTGACCTAGCCAGCCACAGATCTCTGGGATGCTTTGCAGAATCTATTTTGGAAATTACTGGTCCTGCAGAAGTTCTTATACTTTTATGTGCTTCTTGTTTAACACCACATGTGTGAGTCTTGCTCCCACAAGATCTGCATTTGTTGGTCTGGTGGGTTCAGGGTCTGCACTGTTAAACCATATCCCAGAGAAATTTGATGTGAGTGGTTCCTTGGCCACACTCCAAGATGACCACCATGAAGGATATACACATGCAGAGGGTGTGATGATGGAAAACTAAGAAAAATTTTTATTTCAGAATTCTCAGACAAGTGACACTCTGGAACTGCGGTCACTGACAAGGAGTGGTTCTGGTTACTTAGGACAAGGGAGGCAGCATCACTTTGATGAATCCAGGAGGGTTTTGCAGAAGGTTAGAATTCAATGTTCGAGGCTTAGAAGGGCTTTGGAGCAGGTGCGCATCCCTGAAGGGAGCTGAGATTGGGCTAAATTCCAAGAGAAGAGGCAGTTGGTTACTTAGGAGCTCTGAATACAGATGAGCTTGTAATTGTTTCTAAAATGCTGTGAAACTCAATTCCTCACGAGTATATCCCCACTTCCTTCTTACAAAGTGGTGAGTTATGAGAAGAGATAGGTAATTATTTGGGCTTAACGGCCTTCTTTAAAGGCAAAGCAATACACGAGACCCTCACTGATTCCTGTGGGAAAGAGAACTCTGTGGCTTAGGAAAAGGGTAGAAGGGACACTCCATACAGTATACACTTTTCTAAAAATCAATGTTTTATTTTAGAACCATTTAGATCTACAGAAAAGTTGTAGGTAGTTGAGAGTTTCCACATACCCCAAACTTAGTTTCCCCTATTGTTAACATCTTAAATTAATATATTTGTCACAACTAATGAACCAGTACTGATACATTATTATTAACTAAAGTCCATGCTTCATTCAGGTTTCCATAGTTTTTACCTAACGTCCTTTTCCTGCCCGGGACCCCATCCAGAGTACCAGGTTATATTCGGTCATGTCTCCTTAGGCTACTCTTCTAACAGTTATTAGATTTCTTTTGTTTTTGATGACCTGGGCAGTTTTGAGACGTCCTGGTCAGATATCTTGTAGAATGTCCCTCAGTTTGAGTCTGTCCAATGCTTTTCTCATGACTGGACTGGGGTTAAGTGTTCTTGGGAGAAATATCACTGAGGTAAAGTACCATTGTCACCCACCGTTCACTTTTGCCATTTAGAATTATCATACCTTATATGTGTGCTCCCTCTATATACCAAATGGATATATCACCTATTCAAAAATTACTAAGATTTAAATTTCAAAAATTAAAAAAAAAGGATCTCTGAGTTGTGCTCTATAGCTGAAATATACAGAATCACATAATCTATGAGGTGAAAGGACTTTAGAAAACCTGCTCAGGAGGAGGCTGGACCTAGCAGGCTGCTGCTCATCTTGCATCATAGAGTTAACAGTGACCAAGTGGGCACTGGGCCTAGACTCCCCAGGTCCCATGGTTTAACCTGGTAGGCATTCTCCTGGGCAGGTTCTGTGGATTTCTTCCAGACTAATGTCTGCACTGTACCTCACCCAGTGTACCCAGTGTTTACACCTCTGGGAGAGAACCGCCCCTCCCTCTGGAGCCTACTGTGGTCATCGTGCTGCTTGTCCAGGTCACCATCGCTGTTCCTATGGTGAGGGGCACAACTTCCAGTCCACTGCGCCTAGCATGGTTCGCACTCCAGGAACAAACAGAAAGAAAGATTTGGAGGATAAGCACCCCTAGACTCCCTGCTAATGCTGTTGGACCATCTCGATTACCAGTCCTGGGCTGCTCTGGGCCAGGAATGCACACTGGCAGGGCGGGCCACAAGCCCCAGCATGGATGGTCCCCTCCCTCCAGAGCCCTGCTGCGGCTTGCCTGCACTCTGGTCCTTCTATCTCACTCTTTTCCAATTTCTCTCAGGTCTCCCAGCTGACACCCTTCAAGGTCACCGGGACCGTTTCATGGAGCAATTCACAAAGTAAGTGGCTTAAGTGATAGAAATGAAGGCAAATCGAAAAGCACCATAAAATTAATCCATACAGAAGCACTTGCTTACAAATAATTGAGGAATAAGGGTATCTGCATTTTAAAGCAATAAAGGAAAATAACTAGGAGGCTGGCGAACTTACCCGGGGCTGGAGAAGCTGTTGGTTCTCTAATAAATCCCTTAGAAGCACACCGAAGAAGGTGATTTCATTGATTCACCACCTGCTTCATCCCCAGGGCTTCATCCTCTTCTCCCTAAATTCTCATGTACATGCTGACGACTCTCAAATATGTATCTCTAGCGGAATCTTAACTCTGAATTCCAGGATCATGTACCCAATTGTCTGTTTGATATCTCTGTACTGAACTTAAACCTCAAACTGAACTCTAGGTTTTCCTCCAAGAACCTTTTGCTCCCTGGTCTTTTCTATCAATAAATAATGCCGACATCCATTTAGCCCAGAGATCTGGAGCTTGCCATTTTCCTTATCCCCCTCGTCCAGTCCACCTGTGGTTTCGGTCGATACTCTACAAATAATATCTTGGCTCTGGTCATATCTCTTCCCATCTAAGCTACCAATGTTGTATTCCAGGACTTCCGATATTGATATTCATGGATGCCCTGGACTTCCACTTTGCCCCCTGCAATCCTGTCTTCACCCAGAATTTAGAACAACCTTATAAAACTGCAAATCCCTTTCTCAAAACCTTTCAGCGTCTTCTGACAACACTGAGATTAAAAGCTAAGCTCTTCTCCATGGTCCACAAGATCCTGCATAATCTGGCCCCTGCCTGCCATCAACGACCTGGTTTCCAGAGCTCATAGTTTTTCAGCCTCATGGGGTCCTCTAGTTCCTGGAACAGACCCACACATTCCTCCCTCGGGACCTTCGTGCTTTCTGTTCCCTCTCCTGAGGACAGTCTTTTCCCAGCCTGGCCAGCCTCAGGTCATCTTTGGTCATCACCTCACAAGGACAGCCACCTTGTTTGAGTCAGGTCTTCTTTCCCATCTCCTGATCCTCCACAACTCTACCCAGCCCCCATATCCTGTCTCACAGCACCCTATTTATTTCCTTCATAGTTCTCAGCACAACTTCATTTCTGCTTGACTGTCTTGTCTGTTATATTCCTAGGACCTGATAACATAGCAGTCCATTAAACATATTGTGTTCCATAAATATTTGAATGAATTCATGAGCTAATAAGCCAGCTCTCTAGTCTAGAGAGGAAGAGCTTGTCTGACTGAGGGGAAAATTATTCTGGTGCATTAGGGCAAGAAAACAAAACTGGTGGCTAAATGAAAAGTACAGTTCGTCTTTCAATTAAGTGTGCCCAAGAGGGGGAAGAATGGAGTGCAACATAGAACTGAAGGAGCCAAGAAGGGAATTATAGCTTAGCAGGGTTTATTTTGACCCTCTTGTTTTTCCTCATAATTTCTTCATCCTTGCCAACAGAGAAAGCATGATCTGGCCCCCGCTTAAGCCAAATCCCAAGCTTAGGCTTCTGCTGGTTCCCAAGCAGCCATCAGAGGACAAGTTCAAGGTTGTACTTACCTCCCGGTTTCCTTGTTCCAATTGAAAAGCCTTGTATGTTTATTCTATAATAAATGATTTATTAAATCTTAGGAGACAGACCCTGGGGCCGATTTCCTGGAATGTTAAATTCCAGTAGCTTTCGAAAGCCGTGGTCTATTACTGTTGGCTCCAGCCCAGAAAGAGGGGGACGTGTGGTTGGGTAATTTTATTTCCTTTCATTTTTTCAGCTTATGAAAATATCTCCTGTGAGTAGCCACCTCACTTTCTCTTCCAACAGGCACATCACTATCCTCTTATTCTGGGAAGGCAGCATTGATATCACAGGGACAGTCCTAACCCTGGGGTCCGAGGGGCTATCATGAGACCCCAGGGGTTTAGTTTATTGGACTAAGCTGAAGAAAATTCTGTGTTAACAGAGAGAGAGTGTTGAGATCCACGACCCTTCGTCTCAGAAAATATGTCTGTTGAGCTCAGCTTTCTTGGCCTTCAACGTTTAGATTTAAAATGGAGACTTGAGGATGAGAAAAAAAAAATTGGTTTCTTCATTTCCACATTCATCCAAGACTTAGGACACAGTAAAAATAGTTTTCTCCAATGAATACTTGTTGAATAATTCCTCTTTGCTTGGTACTGTGGTAAACGTAGATCACCAGGGCCCCGTCTCTGTCCTCTAAAAGCTTGTAGTCTAATTGAGGAGATAATAGCTCTGACACAAGGTAAATTAATTAAAAAGAGGTCTACCTTAATAATTAATTCCCTTCCCTTTTTCTGTGGTCGGTTGATTTATCCTCAAAGTAAATGTATATTAATGTTACTCTATTGCAACATTTCTAGGAAGATACCTCTGCCAAACAATAGCATATATTCTACAGTGACGTAGAAATTAATTTTTTGATTATCTACACTTCCAAAAGATTTTGTAGTTTGAATTACTCTGCCTACCACCAGATAAATGAGGACTGGCTATAAATACTTTCTCTATAGCATCATAATTGAATCCTAATGCCATGGAGGCCATCTCCTTGACAGCCTGTGCCTTTGGGCTGGGCGGGCAGAAGGAAAGCTGGGTGGTTGCTCTGTCCCCTCCCCAGAGCTGGGAAGGCCCCCCAGCCCCTTCAGGCGCTTCTCCATCCCCAGGTTGAAAGATCTGTTTTACCGCTCCAGCAACCTTCAGTACTTCAAGCGGCTCATTCAGATCCCCCAGCTGCCTGAGGTAAGCATGCCTGGCCATACCCTGGGAGCTGCTGAGTCCAGGGTACGCCCTTAGAGGCTGGCAGGTCCGGTGTGTGACACAGTTTGAGGACGTCTTTTCTCTTCAGAACCCACCCAACTTCCTACGAGCCTCTGCCCTGTCAGAACACATCAGCCCTGTGGTGGTAATTCCAGCTGAGGCCTCGTCCCCTGACAGCGAGCCAATCTTGGAGAAGGATGACCTCATGGACATGGATGCTTCTCAGCAGGTGAAGACCACTTGGGAGAGAATCTTGGCCCTTCCCGTTGCCCCCATGTGCAGGGGAGAGGACAGGAGAGGCCCTGGCCAAGCCTCGTTGGTTCCAACCAGATTCAACCGCCTTCCAACCCAACCTCTAACCTAGACTGAGCACCCTGTCCTGTCGTCTCTAGGAGGGACCATAAGTGGATTTGAACCAAATTAACAAAGGGTCCATTCTTACATGTCACTCATTTCACCCCCACCTGGAATTCTCTGAATCTCTAACTTTGTTCTAATCCTTTTTGGTCACTGCAGAATCTATTTGACAACAAGTTTGATGACATCTTTGGCAGCTCATTCAGCAGTGATCCCTTCAATTTCAACAGTCAAAACGGTGTGAACAAGGATGAGAAGTGAGTCCAAGCTGGATTAATGCAGATGGAGCAGAAACTAAGATCTGACTCAACCACACCTAACACAAAAGGAATTCTTAATGATGCTTGGCTTCTTAGAGAAATGTCTTGATCCTCATAGATTGGCCCCTTTAATCTCAAAGGAAAACCAAGTGATGCTGAGATAACTGGACCTGTGGGTATTGGATTAGTGTCTGGTAACACTGACAGTCTTAGAGTATAATTTCTGGAATTTCAAAGAATTGTCCCCAGATTAACACCAGCTTTTAACTTCCTCCCCTGATCTCCTAGCTTGCATTTAAGACAAGGGTAGAATCACAGTGGAAGCAAACTTGTTC